TAAATCTATTCTTTTTCTTCGCAATATCAAATGAAAAAAGCTTATACTACTAAGTTCGCTTTTATTATTCGAAAAACAGATTATGCACAATACAGATCTTTATCAAATATCCGAGTATTTTCTTTTATCAAGAAAAAATCATTAAGAAAAAGAAACAAATACGAGATTCATGATTAATTTGGATTTTTGCTTAATTTTATTTGTTTATATCCAGATCGTAGTTTACGGTATCGAATATTTTGTTTCGTTCCAAGCCAAATAACAACCAATCTCGGTCATATTTTATATGTAGAATCATTTGTATATTCATTGAGCCAAGCTATAAATCAGTTACGTAATGGTATAAAATCAGACACAAAAGTAGAAATTCAAAGAAGATCCAATTATTATCAAAAACAATACTGGGATGATATTGTAATAATCATCCAACATGAAATAGAAACATTACCAAACTTGTTGCGGCACAGAACTTTCGATAAACCATTTGATACAAAGCGTGAGGATATATACTCTCATGTTGTACACGATCCTAGAATATTTGTCTCCAATAAATCAATACAACAGTTAATAAAATTAGAAGAAAAAATAAGGTATATAATTCAACATCAGCAAAATGATATAGTCATTAGTTTTTGGAAACAAAGATTGTTCGATCTACGAGATATTATAGCTCGTAGACGACTTCATCAACAACATCGTCAGTAAAAAAAATTAAAAAATTAAAATTAAAATTAAAAAAAAATTAAAAATAAAATGTCGACATACACCATTATCATGTAATTTTGAAGTGAATTTATGTAAATTTATCAATGTATATTATGCGGATCTTAAATTTGAACGTTCACGTGCTTTTCAATTAGTTGATGATTATGCATCAGGAAGAGATCATACATTAAATAATATAACTGGTTCATTTATTCATGTTAATGCACTTGGTCAATTACCAAATCGTCTACGAGCACCATATGATCATACAACACGAAGTCAATATGTACGTTTAAAATAAATTTCATGTGTTTTTTCTGTTTTTAAAATCAATATATTTGAATCTATTTTAGGATCATTATTATCTATTACGTATTAATTCAACAATACCAAGAGGTACAGTAGCAACACTCAAATTATCTCGATTCAACAATAGAAGCTGGATGTACAATGCATTTTTGAATTTATTTCAAGGATAGTAATAATGGACAATTATTAGTTGGTTATCGATATAATATTTCGGATGATATTAAATCTTAATCATATTCTAATTATCAATCATGTGAAACAAATCCAACAAAATTTTCGTGGCAACGTATTGATGTTCCATTAAGTGCTATTTTAAATCAAACAACTGGAGTAAAATTTTTAAAAAAATTTTCTTTTTATTTATTTATTTTTCTTATTTAAATAGATTGTTATTGGTGTAACAACTGGTGCTGATTGTGATGCAATCATGGCATTAGATTATATTACATATACACCACAATGTGTTAAATATAACGAAACAATACCAACAAGGCCGACAACAACTACAACACTATGCACAGGTTCTTCAACAACTACAACACGATATACAGGTACTACAACAACTATAACTACCACTAAATATACAGGACCATCAACAACAACAACCACAGTAAGAGCAACTACAACAACTCGTTCTGGTAAGATTTTTTTGTTAAAAGAAAAAAATATTTTATTATTATTATTAGTAGTAGTATGTGCACAATATTGTTATAAGGGTGGTACTTGTGAACCACCAACAACAGAACTTGGTAAACCAAAGTGCGAGTAAATTTATTTTCTGAATATTATCTTTTCTTCATTAATCTATATTTTTTAAAGACGTCCACCTAGTTTTACTGGTGCACGATGTGAAAATAAAGAAAAACCATCGAAGAAGAGTAATTGTAAGTAAAATATTCTTTATCTAAATAATATTAATTCATATTTATATGTTTAGTGGGTGCTATTTTGGGAGGAATATTTGGTGGTCTTGCTGTTATTGCTTTAATCATATGTTGGATTTAAATTTGTTTTCCCAAAAATACGTGCCACTAGGTTTGAATCAAATATTTTTATATATTAGATTAAAATTATTTTATTATTTTAATGTATTTTTTAGAGATACTAATGTAAGTACAGGATTACTAGAATCAACAGTACCAA